GGGGGGGGGGGGGGGGGCATTTTAGAACCGAATGTGAGCGTCAGTGGCCCAACAAAAAAACATTTCTAGGTCGTATTAAACAATGGTCTAAAATAAATAGATAGAAATTTCAATAACTAATACCACAGGGAACCCAATTTAGATAAAATTCAAGGGTGGAAATAAAATTGGAAAAATTGAAATAATTAATTATTTTTTAAATTCGAAGTCAAAATAATGTCCTCCGTATTTACACTTTCGTATTACGGAGGACATTATCTTGACTTCGAATTTTTTTAAAATACTAATACAAGATACACTCAGTAAATTTCGAGTTGGGGCTAAGCCCACGAAAACACGATAAACATCAATGCATGCGCATATAAAGTAAGGCGGATGGCCGCAAACTGAATCAACTTATTATCCAAGACTTTAGATTACCTAGCTCAATTTACCTTTTTGACGAGTTTGGAAAGTTTCTGAAGATATAAATCTTTTGTGACAAGACGCCTAGTGGACAAATAGTCCAAATAGCAAGATTCTATCAATGCTGCTTAATTGCTAATATGTGCTGAAACGTTATTTTCACTTCTTGGGATTGATTTCGCTTCGTAGTTGACGCTGTTCGGGTGATATTGGCTGTAGTAGGAGCCCGCAGTTGTTGTGTGTTGTGGCTTTTATTTTCCTTTAGGACTAGTAACGGCTTGTTCGTCCAGCTATGAAATAAAGGCTTCATCTGAAACAGAATAAATAATTCACAGATTGCTGGTCGGATTGATGACGTTTCGACCACATACCAGCAAAAGCATTTCATATCCATTCATGATTAATGAATGGTTTTTCCAAACATTTGATTCAACTGATGCAGTCGGGACTCATGCCACTATTGTGTCGGCAAAATTGCTAATTCAGATCCTAATTGTTTTCACCTTTCGAGACTGATCTTTAAATTTGTTCGTTCTGCTCAAATAAAGATTAAAAATTTAAATTAAAAAAAACCCCGATTTCATAGGGTAACTAGGATCACACAGAGTAGTTTTCATCTAGGCCCTTCTAGATCAAATTAGAATCTAGAAGTTGATTTTGTAGAGGGGAAAAAACAGGAGGACCCGGAGAAAAACCCTTGAATATGCTACAAAAAAAAAAAAAAAAAATTATAGAGTTTTGTTCAAATTAAAAAATTCGATTCAAATATTGATCATCATTGTGCAAATAGCTGAACTTTATAGTTTAGTCGCCACAGCTCAAATAGGCCCTAATGCGCATGCTCGTCCCAATAGACTTGGTTTTGAATAAACGATGCTTTACTTCTCTTATGGACCCTCAACTTACCCTGGCCGCGAACAGTAGAAAAGCCGACAAACATTTTCAAGATCTCATTGCTAACTTACAAAATTCTACATACACAATCAACTCCTGACTTCCTGAACGTTTTCAAGCCAAGTACCAAAACTTATGTAGCATTTTCTAAATTATATGACATAATATGACATTAAAAAGTCAGGAACTCGGAACACTCTTAAATCTAGGGTTAAGCTTATTTATTATTATATTTTTCTTTTCTTTTTCTCCAATTCAAGCTCTTTATTATTGTTTAGTTTTTTAATTAGTTTTTTTGGACTTTTGTCAAGCACCGAGGGTGTGTATCATTATTTGTTATATACATTTTGCAACAAAACGATTCAAGGTTGTTTTGAATATTCATTCACTCCGGGAATTTGGTCTTCTCTGCCGAGGTCATGGATATGAGTCTACGACTTCAAAACCTACTTATAGAGGTTTTGCACCATCACGTGCCGGCGCCATAATACAGCTTGGACTGCCTGTGGTTAGATGACAGAACAATGAAATCCCTGTGCTCTTGGGAATTGAATTCTTTCTCATGCAAAACGATTATATTGTTCGTGCCATCTAACGTGTCTGTCGTCACGTGATGGTGCAAAACCTCTATTAACACTTTGGCCTAAGGGGCGGATTGTTGTTTTTAATTAGAAGTTCGATTCGTTTTTTTTTCTTCTGTCGCGTCTACGCGAATTCAAACGTACTAGTCTTTGTAAAGTACTATGTACTATGTACTATTCGTAGTCTTTGTTGCATTTTCTTTTCATGGACTGCATGAAAATAGTAATGAAATACGAAAGGAAATAGAACCTATTTGAGTGCTATTTGAAACGAAATTAATATGAAAACAACATGTTGAGAAACCTGTTCAGTGTTCTAAATTACACAACTTTATAGTAGCGGGAAAATGTAATGAATGAACCGAAAAACAAAAGGAAATGGAAGTCATTTGAGTGCTATTCGAAAATGAAATTGACATGAAGACGACATGACAAAGAAACCTGTCCAGTGTTTTAAACGACACAATGTAGAATCGTTTTTAATGGTAAAGAAAAGAAGAAAATTAAAAAGGAAATGGAAAAGGTAAAGAAACCCGTGTTCTAACACAACTTAGAAACTTCTTCGGTTTCGCAGGGAAGCCGAACAGATGATGCATTGAGTGTTATTAGAAAATGAAATTGATAGAAAAACGACATGCTAAAGAAATTTGTTCAGTGTTACAAATAATGAAACAAATAAAAAAAGGAAGTGGAACCCCTTTGAGTTCTTTGAGTGCGATACGAAAATGAAATTCGTGATGAGAAAACAACAGAAACCTTTTCAGTGTTGCAAATCACACACTATACAAACTCTTTTCGCGGGAAACCGAACAGAGACTGAATAAGTTGAAGTGAGCTCTCTTAAAGTCGAGTGTAATCATTTAAATATTTCTAAGAAGTACTTAGACTTTGAACTTCCTTTCCGGCTAATGTTTTAGCTTCTATTGAAATAATTTCAATTTGAAATAGGGCTTGATTGCTGGAGAAATAAATCCTTTTCATAATCATAAGTACTTTTTTAAATATCATATCATCGAACACTTAAAAACTCTTTCGATGTCTTTGATATTTGAAATTTTTGCAATTATGAAAAGAAGTTAATTGATCGCCTTTCAAGAATAAAAATGCCAAAATAACTGAAGCTCAATTCAAAGGAAGCCAGGAAGACGATTTTTCGATAAAACTCTAAGTCCTCAGGAAGAGAACCCCTTCAAGTGGTTTTCTAAATATCCATTGATCATTGAAAAGCGGGATAAACCAGTTAAGTGTTGGCGGTATGCCTTCGAGTCTAAAGCCATCGCAGATAAGTATAAAAAGCCATTACAATGTCAGTCTCATTGCGGGCTGCTTGCGGATAATTTATAAAAATGGTTTTCGAGGAAAATTGTCTTGAATAAACGAATAAATTATTGATTTACATGGACCCCTTCGATGAATGCCTTTCCTCTTGAAATTTTGATAATAGTATTGTATAAGTTAGTATAAATGATTAGATTTTGTTGGACAAAAGATTGAAAATAAACGCCCTAAATCACCGCTAAACAATAAATACAAAAAATTAGCGAATCGTCCATGAGTGGGAATAAGTATATCCCTTTTTAATCTTGTACTTAGATTGTTCTTTTCATAATCCTACACAAGATGTTAGTACCCTCACCGCAATGGCGGCCTTGCTCCTCGGCGTGAATTCTATTTCATTTCCCTGTTATTTATTTTCAAAGAACCACGCAGGATTATTGTCTCATTTCCCTAACGAGTTTAAACATTTACTTGGCTGCCACAATCTAACTGATTACCGCTTCCAGCTTCAATGTGAAAATATTATCTAAAACCGATGTTCAAACAAGGGTCCGCTTGATAGGCTAACCAACCGACCAATCACGATCAAGAGAAAGATTTTATCGTTGACCAATTGGAACGCTTTAAAAAAAATCCCTTTATCATTGCAATATATATCATTTTTAAAAGCTGTTTCTTCGGAAGAGCTTCAAATTGTCTTCTAATCAAGCAGTGACAAGCAGTTTTTCTTTGAAAACAAAAATCGGAGAAAAACCAATAACAGAATTAATTGACTTCGATCAATAATATTTGCTACTGACGAAAACAATCATATTTGAGAACTTATTTCTGGCTGCAGTTTGTTTGTTCGGATCGTGGACGGAACTGAAACAATTAAGCCGATTCACAGGGGGCAAGAAATACTGAACTTTTAAAAGGAACAAAACAAAACAAAACAAAAAAAGAAAAAAAAAGCAAAGAATATCAAGAAGATCGGACGCGTTGGTCTGTGAATGGCTCTGTGATATCCTGTATCTGTCTGGTATTTTTTCCGTCGTTTTGTGACTGCTTCGATAGCAATCGGTTTGTTCACCATTAAAAAGTCCCTTCACAAGCTCAACTTAATTGTAACTTCATATTTTGAGTCAAGTGTTCTGACAATTTCAAGGTAAGAGTTGTACATGTATATGTATTCGATATTTCCTCTTACACAGAATAATAGAAAAATTTGCAACATATTGTCATTTATTCAGTCCAGAGTGCAATATGCTGCTTTTCAATCAAAAATGTAATGAATCTTCAGTTTTTAGCTTCACAGTTTGAAATGCTAAGCGATCTTTGGCATTTAAACTTATGCATTTTTAGGAAGCAAAAATTAACAAATGTATAGAAATATTTCCTCCACGATAAAAAATATGTAATATTTCATGTTAAAATCGGTGTTTCATTTGATGCTCTTTAGCAAGATACTACATATGACAACAGTTCAAAAAGTGGTCAATACACTCTAATTAGTAAGCTTTGAATGAAAACGCGTCTGCATTTGACATGAGAAACTGTATTTCATTACTGGTGTTTTGAAAACAAACACCGCTAAACAAGTTCGACTTCCCGGTGACTTCTTGATAAGTTTATGGTAATGAAATGACAGAGTATATTAAACTGAATAAGGTTTTGCATAATAAAGGATTTGGTTTGAACTAATGACCAAGGCATTAATTCTTTGGATAATTTATAAACTGATAACTACCACTACTACTACTAGAGTACAAACACTAAAAGTGTGCAACACTGTAAGATGCCGTCAAAGAGATGATAAAGAGGATGGATGGATGGATGGATGCAACA